TATACACTTTGGAGAAAATGAGAACGGAAAAATAAGACTTTTAACTGTAGAGAAAATAACACTCTTGACTTTGTAAAGTCTCTGAGGTGCTATTATGGATTCTCATATTTGGCAATCAATAAAAGAGCAAGGTTTTTTGAAGCTACAGTACACATGCATTCAAAAGTCCATGGGTATATAGAAGAGAGAGAGATGATTTAAATTTTATAATATTAATGTTATTAATTGTGCAGTGGTGTTGATACTGAGTCCAACTGAGTCTAATTTATGATATAAGCACAGGAATTAACACTATTATTTTTGTTGAGGAGTCCATTTCACAAAATGAAACACTCCTCTGCCACCTAGTGGCTATGTGGTGTAATTAAGAAAATGAGCATATGGGGAGAGAGAGACATAAACATACTATAGTTTAAGGGGTAGTATTAAAAGTATAGATTGCTTTTGGTAGAATGGGCATTTTTGCCATATATTAATCCTACTTATCCATAATCATGGTACAGCTTTCTATTGTCTGATATCATCTTCAATTTCTTTCTTCAATGACCTAAAATTTCTATCATGTAGATCTATCTTAGCCAGTGTTCTATGGCTGAGACACCATGGCAGGGAGTACGGCTGCACACAGACAGACGTGGTAGCTGAGAGTTCTACATCAAGGTCAGAGGGCAGCAGGAGAAGACACTGGGCCTGGCTGGAGCTTTTGAAACCCCAGAACACACCCCAGTGACATGCTTCCTCCAACAGGGCCACACTTACCCCAACAAGGCCACACCTCCTAATCCCTCTCAAGTATTGCCACTCCCTAATGACCAAGCATTCAGTATATGAACTTAGAAGGTCATTCTTACTCAAACCACTGCAAAGTCTCTCACTTGCTTGGTTAGAATTATCCCAAGATATCTTTAAGCTATGGTAAAAAGGTGTTGTTGATTTCTTTCTCCATCTGTCATTTCTGTATAGAAATGCTACTGGTTTCTGTGGTTTCTGTGCTCATTTTTAGTGTCCCGCTGCTTGGCTGAATTGTTTATCAGTTGTACATGTCTTCTGGTGGAGTCTTTAGGGTCACTTAATAATATGCTCATATCATCTGCAAATAGAGATACTTTGACTTCTTTCTATTTGTTTCCCCTTGATGTCTTTCAGTCGTCTTTATTGCTCTAGCTAAATGTTCAAGTACTACATTGAATAGGTATGAAGAGAGTGAACAACCTGTCTTGACTTTAGTGAAGTTGATTTTAATTAAACCTACACTTAGATTGATGTTGGCTGTGAGGTTGCTATAAATTGTCTTTATTGTGTTGAGGTATGCCCCTTGTAGCCTTAGTCTCGTCAGAGCTTTTATTATGAAGGGGGGTTGGATTTGTCAAGACTCCTTTTTGCATTTAATGAGACGATCATGTAGTTTTCATCTTTCATCCTGGTTATATAGAGAGTTATATTTCTCAATTTCTATATGTTAAACCAACACTATATATCTAGGATAAAGCCTGCTTGGTCATGGTGATCTTCTTGATATGATATTTTTTGAAGTTATTTTACTGGGAATTCTTGCTTCTCTGTTCATAAGGGAAATGGGTCTGGAATTCTCTTCTTTGTTGTGTATTTATGTGGTAATTTTGGTATCAGGGTAATTGTGGCCTTGTAAAAAGAATTGGGCAATGTTCCTTCTGTTTCTGTCTTATGCCATAATTTGGAGAATCTTTGGTATTGAATGTGTTTTGAAAATCTGGTAGAGTTCTGTGCTGAGTCCTTGCCCATCACTTGGTGGCCCTAAGACAGTAGGCTACTGAACAGGCCTGCCCGGGGCTGCAACATGGCAGTATTGGGATACAGCAGGCATGTGACAGGCTTGCCCAGGCCACCACATCATGGCGTGAAAACATGACAGGCATGCAAACAGGCGTGTCCAGACCTCTACCTAGCAGTGCTGGGACTGGCAGGTGTGGGAACAGGCACACGCCTGCTGCCATGCTGCAGCCTTGGGACACAGCACGCTTCCAAACAGGTGAGTGCAGGCTTCCATGTGGCAGAACTGGAATATGGCAGGTGTGAACAGGGATGTGCAGGTAACCAAATCATGCCACTGGGACTAGGCAGACATGTCAGTAGGTGTTGCTAGGCTACCATGTGGATGGGCTGGAATGTGGTAAGTTTGCAAAGATGTTTGTGCAGGCCCCCAATGGGGGCCCTGGCAGAACTGGGCTTAGATCACTGTGTGGTAGTCCCGGGATACTGACCGCATGCGAACAAGAGAGCCTGTGTTGACACATGGCAGTGCTCAGATGTGAAACATGGGCAAAAAGATGAGCTCACGTGGTGGTGCTGGGACACAACATGCGTGTGAATAAGCATGCCTTCACCGCCAAGCTGTAGTGCTAGCACACGGCAGGTGTGAGAACAGGCCATCATGGATGACCACAGGATGGTGCTGGGACTCAGCAGGCATCCACACGAGCATTCCCATGCTGCCTTGGGGTGGTACTGGCACATGACAGGCATACAAATAGGTGTGCCCACACCACCATGTGGCAGCGCCGGCACTTGGCAGTGGTGCCCAGGCAACCACACATCGTGCTAAGAGTTGGCAGGCTTAAGAATGGAAATGCTCAGGCCACTTTCTGGCGGCCCTGGAACAAAGCGGGTGTATGAACAGGCTTGCCCAGGCCCGTTATTTCGTGGCACTAGGTCACAGCTCTTGTGTGAAAGGGCAAGCCTGTGCCACCACGTGGCAATGCTGGGACACAGCACATTTGTGAATCAGTGAGCCAGGCTGCAGCATGTTGGCCCGGGCCCGCAATATACGTATGAAGCATGCACAGGCAAAAATGTAGTGGTGCTGAGACACGGCATGTGAGCAAACAGACCTGCCTGCTGTCAGTTGGCAGCCCCAGGGCACACCAAAGGAACAACAGGCCTGCCCAGGCTGTGACCTGGCAGCAATGGGACATGGCAAGCATGCAACAAGTGTGTCTGAGCAGTCACATGGCAGCGCTGTGACATAGCAGGCATTTGACAGACTTGCCCAAGCAAAGGAACTCAACAAACAGGCAAGCCTAGGCCATTCCATGGGAGTGAAGAGACAGGGCAGGAGTTCAAATAGCACGAGCTTAGCCACCACGTGGGGGTACTAGGACACGCTGGCCTCCCAACAGATGAACCCTCTCCCCCGTATTGTGGCCCTGGAAAATGGCTGTTATGCGAAGAGGAGAGTCAATGCTACAACATGGCAGAGCTGGGACTTGGTTTGCGTACCACTGGGTGAACCCAGACTGCCACAGTGCAGCGCTGGGTCCCTGCAAGCATGTGAACAAAGGTGCCCGTGCAAACACATGGTGGCACCTGGGACATGGCAGGCATGCAGACCATTGTGCCTGGGGCAACATGGATTGGCACTTGAAAACAGCAATTGTGACAGCAGGCGAGTCAAGGCCACTGAGAGGCAGCCCTGGGGCATCAAAAGCCTGAAAAAGGCCTGTATAGGGCATGGCATGGTGGCATTGGGGCATGGCAGCCATGTGACAGGCATGCCCAGGCAGTCATACTGCAGCATTGGGCATGGTGGGCCAGCAGATAGGCATCCAAGACCAGCCCGTGGAGGCACAGGAACCCAGCTGGAGTACAGCAGGTGAGCACACTTCCCACACGGCAACGCTAAAACATGGATGCCATGTGAGCAGGAGAACCAGCGCCACCACGTGGCACCCCTGAGATTTGACTTCCACGAGAGTAGGCGGGGCCTGGGACACCACACAGCCGTGCTGGAGCGTGGCACACATTTGAGCTCCAGGGCTCTTCTGCCACAGTGGGGTACTTGGACCCCGCAGATGTGCAAACTAGGAGTTCTGCACCCAAATACAGCAACACTGGGAAACACCTTCTCTGCCAATAGGCATGCTCAGGTTTCCAAGAGTTTGCACTGGGGCATGGCATGTGTAAGAACAGGCAGGCCTAGGCCATCGTTTGGTGGCCCTAGGTCACAGCAGGCAACCAAATAGGTCCCCTAAGCCATAATGTAGTAGCACTGGGGCACAGCAGTCATGCAACATGCTTGCCCAGGCCATGAAGTGGTAGGTACTGGGATATGACAGGCTTAGCTGGGCATCTCCACACCACCAAGTTGTAGTTCAAGGATATGGCAAGTCTGAATACAGACATACCCAACACACACACACACACACACACACACACACACACACACACACACACA